TTTGTATGACGTGCATGGGTTGCTTTGAAGTGCTCTTCACAATATTCTTCTTCGGGTTCTAACCTTTTCATTTCCTGATATCCCTCTACTTCCCAAAATTTACGCATTGTTTCATTTAACTCCTCCATTATACTTAAATTACAACTAGTCTGAGCTATTTTCTTCGCCTTTTCTCCCCTTTGTCGGCCCCGATACAAGCCAACCTAATAGCGATTTTTGCAATATCGGCATTCGCTTTCCCAACCTTATTTGCCCCACGCAGATTAACTCCCAAAACCTCTCCGCGCCTATAAGCAACTCGATCTTGCCCGGTTTATCAAACTGCGGGTCGGCCAATCGAATATTCTTTGGTATCTTTAAAGGGGTTGTGTCTACTACAACGGTCGGTAAGTTTTGAGTAATCTTAGGAAGCACTATGCATGGTAAATCTAAACCGTGCGTACCGAAACGAGAAGTTATCTCCAAATTTAAAGATTTCACGGCATGAGAAATATGTTGATTTATTCCTTTTATCTCAACTTTATTGTCAATCGTTTTCAAATTTAGCCTTTTAACAAAATCTTCGGTTACGAAATTAGATTGGGATCCATTGTCTAATAGTACCCTGCCTTCTATATATTGATTTTGGTGGTTCTTTACTCTAATTACAGCCGTGGACAACAGCACCTGATAGGAGTCAGCAATCTCTTTTGATTGTAAATGCGTACATATGGTGTTAACCGCTTTGCTCGAAGTGCTCTCTTGAACTACATTTTGTTTTGCCGAGTCCTCTTTAACCTCCTTTGATGAATCGCGATCTTCGTGCAACAAAGTGTTATGCTTTCTAGTACATTTTTTGCATCCGCTAGCCGAACAATCCTTTGCAAAATGTTTTCCCTTAAAACAATTCAAACATAATTTTAAGTCCCTTACCCTGCTCAAACGCTCCGCTATGGAAAGCTCCTTAAAGCTATTGCACTGGTAAACCTGATGATCGCCCTTGCAATGCAAACACTTAACATTCGTCACAGCGGCATGAGACATTGACACCTTTCCCGGGTTCGTCTGACGCGAATTAACATTCGGTGTCATGGATAAGCTTCTCCTGGCTACGGCTTCCAACATCTGGCACCTTCGCGAAAGAAAGTCAGTTAGTTCTGCGAATTTAGGCAATACTTGGACCTCCAAACTAGTTTCCCATTCCTTTATGGTTATATAATCCAATTTACTAGTAATTATGTATACCAGCAAATCGTCCCAAGACTCGGTGGGACATTTCAACGCAGTTAATGCTCTAGTGTGTTTCAATGTGCCATCTAATATGCTTCTTAACATTACGCTATTTTCCTTTTTTCAACACAGGTAATTCAAATATGGCTCTGATATGATTTTGAACAGCGAGACGCTCGTTGTCGTACCTTTCTTTTAGCCTGAGCCAAGCATCCTTATAATGAACTTCCGAGATCTCTAATGAAGCTATAGTTTCAGCTGCCTCACCTTTTAAGGAAGATTTCAAATAATGAAATTTTTGAATATCATTTAACGACCTATTAGAGTGTATTAGAGAATTAAATGTGTTGAAAAAAGAATGCCATTCTTCATAAGCCCCGGAAAAGACGGGTAAATCTATCTTGGGCAATCTTACGTGACTTTCATTTATTCGCGTCCCGACGCTTTCCGGAACTTCTGCAGTTAGGTTAAGCGCACTGCTGACTGAGACTGGTTTCACGCGATCTTTAATTATTTTTTCTCCTTTTAACTTTAGACTCATGTATTTTTCTTCGTGGATTATTAACTCTTCATCGACTTGCTCATCTGTTAACGTTTCATCGTAACTCACTAGATCAGTTAGACTTTCTTCGAACGACTTCCAACAATCCTCTAATTTAGCCAATCGCAACTTTACCTCCTCGACATCAACAGTCTCTGCATCTAACGTATTTAAGAAAGTTTCCACTCGCGTGAAACCACTCTTAGCTATCCTTTTTCTTTGCTTAATTTTT